TGTCAAATATGGCAGGGTATATAAATTCATAACTGAAGAAGAAAAAACGTAGACAGATAAACAAAAAATCATTACTAATCATTTAACAATATTGCAATATCTTTCATTTTCAAGATATTTTGTATCTTGATGAAATAGCAAAATCGATAGGAGATGAGCAGTTAGGTAGATGGTTACAGTTTTTTTCTTTCGTTGAGAGTAATATTTCTGGTCATTAAGTTAGAATTCAGTAACTAATATTTCACAAATCTTCCTCCTCTGATAATATAACAAAAATCGATTTGAGTAGAATAAGTAATTTTGCATAAACTATGTAAACTACTTAACAGTAATATAATGTTTAATATACAAATTTTGATGGATTCCAATGAGGTTGTAATGGAATTACTGATGTGTGGGCAAGAATGATAATGACTGGTTGTCTGCTTAGTCAGACATGTAGATAGTCTGACAGGTATCAGATAAGTTCTTTATTCCCCTATCCTTATTATTATACTGACTCACTTATTATTAATTGTTGTTGAATTGTGTCGGGTTTTGGTGTGGAAATACATAACGTTGTGGTCAGGCTAATCACGTGTTCTTGATCTGAGTTGTGTCGACATCCTATAAAATAGACACTGGGAGGGAATCTAGTGTAGATATTCGTTTAAGGTAAATTAACATCCAATATGTGGAAACGTGGAAACCCAACGGTTATAACATTAGACAAAGTAAAACCGAGCGTTATAACAATTACATTCAGATTTTACTGGGTTTTTTTCTTACATATATATATAGCTTGTAAATAACGGAGTGAACTTTGAAGTGCTGACTTTTAGTCATAACTTTTCATCACGAATACTTGGTACATATAATTAAGTTTTTTTTAATGTTTTTTTGTTCTCTTAGGTTAACACTTATGAATATGTGTTGGGAATTCGAACCAATTAAGAGACCGACGTTTAATGAAATTTTATCCAGATTGAAATCATTCACATCTTTTACCGAATAGATTTGATGATATATAAATATTACTTAAGTCCCTACTATATTTTATGTAATGATAATTCTAAAGCTTTTTTTAAATAGTCACCATTTTTACAATGTAAATATTACTTTTGCATTCATTCAATAAGGGATCCGCTCAATTCATGACCCTCGTATAATGATTGTTCATAGAAGTAAATCCTAAGATAGTAACAAGATTATAATGTTAATTTAAACAGTTGAAATCATGAGTCAATTGAAGCTAGACCACCATGGAAAACCCGGAAGCACCGGACGGCCGTCTCGTCCTATTGTGCGACTCCTCAGCAGTGCGCATCCACGACCCCGCCTCGTTGGATCCGAACCCAAGACCCACCAACCTCGTGCCAAGCGCTCAACCAACTGGACCACTGAGCCGGCATCCGACGCTGTTAATGTTAACTTCAACTAATCCACGAAATTGGGCGACACATCCACCATTGTCATCAGTTAGTTACTACCTCACAACTGATCTGGTTGAACTCCACCGGTCACTGCTTCTCATTAGAGCTCCAGGATATATATCTTGAAGCCAGTCACTAGTGAGCATATGTCGAGTAGTATCAGAAGGGTCTCAGGGGTCTAGTTGGTTAAGTGCTTGGCGCGAGACTGAGAGGTTCTGGGTTCGAACCCCGCGAGGCGAGGTAGTGGATGCACACTGCTGAGGAGTCCCACAATAGGACGAGACGGCCGTCCAGTACTTCCAGGTTTTCCATGGTGGTCTAACTTCAATTGAATCATGATCTCAACTGTTTAAATTACTACAATCTCCACAAAACCCCTTCTGATACTTATAATGTTAACTAACGATAAAAATTCAGCGCAATTCTATCAGTAAGACTAATTATAGACATTGTCAGTTAGAGTCTTTATTATGATACTATTCTTGGAAAACACTATGATTTAAATAATTTAACAATTAATGTTTAAATGTGTTATTATTTCATCTGGGTTTGTTTTTACTACTAAATAGACAGATAGAAATGATCAGTTATTACAACAACAACAAAAACGACTTATTATACATATGTAACTCGTAGTTAGGTAACTTCCCTTTTTGCACGAACGTTTATAAATTAATACTGACTAATTATTTCACACGTTACATATAAGATTAAACAGTATTCTTAAATATATTTAAATATTTCCAGTTGATGAAACACTACTAGACACACATCATGAATAGGGAAGGTATATTTAAAATTATTCAACACTCACTGTATTTGCCTTATACATGATTCATTTGCTTTTCAATCAATGAACATATTCTTGACTCCATAACAACTGAATAATATTAACTGAGAAACTGTTATACACAAGAAAGTATTGCTTAGTTATTTCATACTTGTATGATAATAAATAACTCATTCAATAAAAGTACATATTTATGTACTCAAGTGATAGAAGAATAATCGGTATTAGGAATAGGAGAAAATTTTAGAAAGAGGAAGCTTTATTGTATACATTGATTGTTCGAATACTGTTATTGGTATGTGAATGGTTGACTGTCTACACTGTAAAATGATAATGCTGCTACATGTAGATTACGTTCAACTTCAGTGTTCAGATTAATTCTTTGCGATTGGTAGATACTGTAGTAACCTTCATCACACCTCTATCCATTTTTTTGACCTGACCAGTAAATGTGTTGGTCTAACTCGACTAAGTATTTCGTGATATTGTATACCTATTTTCGCGTATTTATTCATCCGTATAAACTACTTTTTCCAGATTTTATGTGCGCCTGTTATTATGTATGCATCTATGCATATTATACATTATCGACTATAAAAACTGAGTGACTCTTAGTTCAGCTATCTTACCCTATAGTTGATTTCCATATTCATGCATTATATTCTATATTTGTCTGCTCCATTATGCATCGTCCATACTTTTCGAATTTCGGCTTTTTCAACAAATACAAATGAAATTGAATATGGGGCATATTTTAACATAGACTATAATATGATTGTTCTTTTCGAACAGTTTCCTACAAAATGTATTCTAGCAAATATTATTTCGAATGTTTTCTACGCCACATGTAAGGAGTAGCGAATTAGTCCTTAGACCACTTAACCTTCAATGAATAGGTCGCATAATCGAACTCCGCTCCACCCAACTTTTTCTGAGAGCCCTATAATTTCCCGAGCTCTCACATAAAGTTGAACACATGAATCTGAGTGGGTCTAAATGAACAGTCCTGTGGTCAGACACGTGGCATTGGATAAGGCTGGCAGGTTGGTAGTAAATCTCCAACACTGGGGTGGTTGAGACATTTATTATCTATGCCCAACTACCGCCTACCTCAAGGGGGGTATTGTCTGGTAAAGTGGGTTGGAAGAAAACTAGTCGTCAAACCAAGACTCTGGACCAGTCCATGAAGTCATCGAAAATTGAACTGAGCCACGTAGGTGGTTGCAGACTACCTGATTAGGCTCCGCGCGACTATCGTAGTCACCAAGGTCCAAAGGTAACATGATCTAGAATTGGTCGCAATGGAGCAGATGTAATCTCTTATATTATAAGTCTCCTAATTTTACAAAATTCTCTTATCCCGACCCATATCTTCTCGAATTATATCGTCTATGCCCTAACTTTTTTATTGTCGATAATACTATTGAAAAAATTCGGAAACGGTAGCACTATTTTCCATATTACTCATACATCAAGACTTGACGCTCAAGTCGACTTTTTAGTCTCATTGCTGAAACAAACATTAGAATTCTACACAAAGTAGCCAGAAATTTGCTTGTTTGCATGTCTAATCGATTTGTAGTTAACGTGCGAAAAAAGACAGGCCACACACCAATGTTAACTGAGTCAAAAGGAGTGGGTGTTCTAAGTAAAATCTGATTGGTCATATCATTTATTTAAGGACATAACTAACGAATTATAGAAAGAAGAAAGTTGAAATCGATTGAAGAGCCTGTGAAGTTTTATCAATTAAGAAGAATGAGTTGCACGTTAGGTATATTGAATAACCAACCGTTAACGCTGGAACACTACACCTGCTAACAGAGGAATAGAATTTGGGAGAAGACTAGACCTGACCGAACAAATGTGTACCATAAGAACACGAAACCAGTTATTAGTTGCTGTTTTGAGGCATTTCGGGTGGTACACTTTCGAATTGAATATATAAGTTGAAAGACCGATATTTAAGGGTATCTATCCACTAACAAAAACGTTAAAAAATATTTCCAAGTTTATAGTAGATTTAGTTATCATAAAAGCAGTTACAGTAAATGAAAACACGAGTTTATGAAGATGGGTCAGCATCACAATATGACTACTACTGAAGTTAAATATTCACTCATTAAACTAACTCATATTCACTTTTCCAGGATCTAGGACCTCGGTAAACAGCCATTTTATGGTGCACTAGTGATGAGTGAGCAAGTGTTACGTTAATACCAAACTAAAAATCATAGAGAAATTCGAGTATATTTCCCGCATTTTTGTGTTTGAATATAACAAGTAACGGTTTGAAATCGCGCGCTCCTACGCTACAGAGGATGACGTTTAATACATTATACCTCCGACACACTATGTACGAGAAGAAAAATCAATCTTAATTTTGTATATCAATTTGGAGTGATCTTTGCTCATTCAACTTTTAGCGTATTTTACTGATTACCTTTCACTGTATTTAGTCCATTGATTCTCAATGCATTTTCCCTGCATTATTTCACCATAACTTCGTATTCATTGACAATTGCTCAGTTAATAAAACTCTGTGACTAACAATCACTGAATCACTATGTAAATGAATTAGCTTGGATGTAAATTTATTCTTCTTTGGTTTCGTTCAATAAATCTTAATAAGACTTGTCTTCAGAATAGCTGACGGGAGGGGCTAGAAGCAGATAGAGCTAGTGTATATGATATCACTATTATCGTTAGAATTATCACCGTATATTCTCCTCCGTTACATTGAAGTTTGACTTATTCTACATTGACCTTGTTTTCTATATCAACAACGGATGGCATCTTTATACATAACCAACTTATATTCAAAATGTTAGTTTGATGGATAGAAAGAAGACAACAAGATAAAACATGTTAACTACACATAAAACAGTTACGAGTGCACTTTCTTTTTTTTTAAAAAAAACTTTATTTTCATTAAAATTGTCAGAATAACAATAAGAAACCAAGCAAAAAATAATCACCAATTTCTACAAAAAAATTCTTGAATTTAGATTGTTAATAATAAATGGTAATAATAATAATTAGGAAAAAAGGCAATATATATAAAAACCAAGTGCATACAAAGAGGCAAACAGCTACTGTAACCGAATAAAGCAAGGCACAACAGATTCCAAAGTAGGTAATAATGATAGAGGAGATAGGAATATTTGGAAGAACAGGTGTTGACGAGGGGTCACCTATGTCAGATTGTTTGTTTGTTCACTTTTTTTGTTGCATAATACGATACTCTATCAAAAACAGTGTAAACATGTATATAAAAAAATAGTTACAAAAACAAAGAAATACTCAACGACTGTGTTTACTATAATGGCTAGTAAGAGGAGCAAACAGGTTTTCTTCGTCACAGCACAGTATTTGTATTTATTACCCGCCACAGTTGATAATTATTATAAGAGGCAAAATTATAATATAAAAGAATACTGTTTTAATTAAATATCAGTGAGATGTAACAAACACACCATGAGGGAATTGAGCAATCTCTCAGTTGATTAGAAAGTGTGATGTAAGTGTATATTATCAATAAATATACTCACAAGTTATCAAAATATCCAAGAAGCTGGTGGCGAGCATTATGTAGCGTAACTTAAGGCACGTGAATTATTAATGTGATATAATATATATTGAATACAAGAAAGATATTAAAAACATTGGCTAATATTGAAATTTTATTAGTAAAAAAATAAATCATTGTGCAAGGTGTATGTTTGAATATCTTTCATTGAAACGTAAAAAAGCAAAGTGTAGGTATGTATATATTCGTTGCTAAAAATTCATTTGGAAGAATCAGAGAGAAATTCTTAAAATTTATTATTTTAATGAATAAGCATAATGTTGTCTAGTATGCCAAGCACAGGCGTATTTACATGTAAAAGGTTTGTCACATACTTCACATTTGAAACGGACACCTGTATGTGAATTCATATGTCTTTTAACTTGGTAAGCAGAGAAAAATTCTTTAGAACAAATATCACACCGAAAGAATCTTTGACCTGTATGCACATAGAAATGTCGTGTAAGGTTACCAAGCCATTTAAAAGGTTTACGGCAACTGGGACAAAAATACATAACTTGACCATCAATCATTTCAGACGGCACATCACCTTTCTTCCACACATCTTTGCGCTTTAAGCAAATATGATGATGTAGGCTATAATCATTACGGTAATATTTGCCACATTGGTCACACCTGAGCATCTTTTTGGAATGATCACCTAAATGGACATTAAATGCTCTAGGCCATTTAGGCTGGAAGTGAGATGAAAACGTGTTATGGTTGTATTTTCTGGCAAGATGATTAATGGGATATGTAGCTTTGCGATAAGGGAAAGTGCCGGTTAGTCGAGTTATTGTTGACTGAGGTGTGCTCAAAGACCAGCTTTCAGTAGATGACTGTAAAGTTGAAGTCGGAGTTACTGAATGAGTATCACACGTCAAAGGACTAGTACGTATTAAACTTTGAGATACTTTGTTACCAGGCGATAGATCCCAAGAACTTGTAGTATTTTGTTTTACGTTTAGCTCATCTTCACCAACCCAAAAGGCTTCGCCGTAACATGAAGTATAAGATGAAGAGGAAGTTTTGTCAGCTGCATCCGTAGAAATAACAAGAGGTTTTGACAAAAAACCTTTGGCATCAGTAACTTCATTTTCAAGTACGCCATCATTTTCCTGCTGGTGAACAGCTAACTTGGACTCATGAAGTGGCCAACAGTTATCATTACTTTCATCTTCATCATCATCTTCATAACTTGGAAAAAAAATAATTGGACTTAAAACGCATCTGCAATTACAAATTGTCAATTAACGTCAAATAACCATAATATTTTAAATAAATGGATTGAGAATTTACAACAAAATAGAAGGTCGTTTTAGTCAAAGGCTAGCGTTAAACGATTGTGAGAAACGTGTTATCGTGGGACTTCAAAATAGAAGCCATATACTGAACATATAAGATTTCAACCCGATGAGCTTTCTGAATTCAGTGATTTTAGTGGATGCTTTTAAGAGCAGATTATTGACACATAAAAAGACATTGGGCAAATATGGTACGTATCAATGCTCCATTTTTCTGACGCCCGTAAAACGATTGGGTAGGAGATTGATTTTGATTCGTCAGATTAAGAACATTGTTCTAAATTGGAGACAAGTAGTGACAAAAAGTTCTATTCTCAACCTAGTTTATTATTTACACCAACTATTATGATCCAGTCAATGATAAGCAAATCCTGATATGTATGCAATATGTCGAGTCAGCGCTAGCTTAAATACACTATTATACACTGAAATGTGATATACAGTTAGCTACGTAAAATCGAGTGAATATCAATTCGTCCACTACTACAACGTGATTACTATAGTTGAATAATATGCTGATGTTTCAATGGCAAGTGTTTCATATATATTCGTCGAGGCATGAAGAATTATCCAATGAGAGATACTGAGACACATGATGGAAAATTGATTAAAGAGATTATAAGCGCGCGACTATTGAGTGTTTAGATATGTCAAAAAACAATGTAGGTTGGACCAAATAGCTTGTAAAGGTATGACAGTTAATAAGTATGGGGAAATCTTGATAAGATTTTAAGTGTTCATTAGCTAAGTAAACTTGAGTACATTTTACACATATCCAACAACCATGTACCCTGGTACACTATGGAAGGAACCAAGACGTGTCATCAATACACGAAGTCATCGGTTGTCGTTTAAGTTTTTACAGCCAGTTTAAATTTGATGACTGGATTTTGGAAGGAAATGGTGAAATAAGCTCGGAAACCCTAAATGAAGTGGTTCGCACCAGTCAGTGTAAATTCATCCATTCCTCAACTTTTATACATCGCTTAATTATTGTCTCACAATTTCTGAACTCGATTTCATCCATTCCTTTTCGACTGCATTAGCTGTTTAGTCTTTAACTACCGTTGCTGTTTTCACTCTTTGGCTTTCACCTTTATTAATCTCCTCTAGCCCTATGAATATGAAGTGTAACAGCTTATAATTCGTTGTTTACAACTGATTGATAGTAGTAATATATGATAGCTTGCATGCTCTATGATAGACTGTATAGGGATCCATGTACTTCATTCCTATGTTCAGCTTTAAAAATAACACTATCAGCATTTTCATTTTTAACGCTTTATAACTCTTGACATTTATGGTTGTTGATTTGGATAGTCGAAACAGTTAACCACATTGAGCTCATATATTAGATACTAAATAATGACTTGTTTTCTCACAGACTCGAAAAATCGCAAGATCATAATGATGATACATATTTGAGCGAAGTTCTCAGGCAAGTAAAAACTATTACTTTGATAACTGTACACTCAAGTAGCTAAAAGGTTAGGAAAATTTTTCAGTAATACTGTACAGACATTTAGATTATCTTTATTAACTTTATAGTCAGTTATCTTCGTACCTTTTGCAAGTATTTATGAAAAGGTCTATGAATCATTTCCAGCCCAAATTAACTAGTACGATATCGCCTACCTTCCACTTTTTGAAGTCACTAAATAAACAAATAGTTACATGTAAATCAATAACCACTTTCAAGTTTGTCCAAATATTGTAAATGATGGATTCATATTGACCAGAATATGGCATTCACTTCCTACATCTCAACGGGCGAAGTGGGTATCGAACCCATAGCACATTGGTTAGAAGGTATACTGCTTAAACATGAATACGTCATACTGACATATTATATGATTATTAGCATTCGACCGTTTAGCCTGTATTAACCAGATTAGAAAACGGATGCTATGTAAACAGTAGATTAAGAACTGAACTAGATTCATAAAATGAATCATCTACATAGTTCGCAAAATTAACTACTGACGTCTTTACACTAAATGACAAGATGGCTAAATTTGGTAAATGATAAAAAAAGTTTACTTTAAATGACTCACTCATCTGCAAATCTAGGATCCGAAACATCTGCAAACACAGCGGTTTTTAAAACAGCTTTCTTCTTTTTATCGAATGTCAAGATTAAATAGCCTTCAGGAACAGAATCGTCTGAAGCAGATGATGCCTGGCAGGAAGATGAGCTGCAGTCTGTAGTTTCAGATATATGAGTTAGTAAGGGAACATCCACCATGATCCACTCTATGGTATAAAAACATATGTAAAGAGCTTGAAAGTCGCTTGGATCACTGTATATTATAGTTAGCTTTTGGGTCCTGTCTCTGAGTCTTCGTTCCGTTCGCAAATTTAGAACTCGTAATCTCTCCAAATATAGCAGTCAGTCTTAGGGTTACACAATGAACGTTGTATTATCTAATAAATTGATTAAAACCTCATGAACTGAATACAGAGAGGCATGTTAATAATCAATAATCCATGTTAGTTTAAGTCCTTCGAATACAAGATTGCAATGAGTTTAAACTACAACTTTTCTGCTCTACAAGTCTATAGGAAATCTATTGAGCCCGTATATAATGGAAGATAAACCATCGAAACTGCACTTTCGTCATCAGTGAATATAAGAAAATCTCAACTTAATACCAGACAAAACGGCCGCAAATAGTCTAGTAATAATTGGGAAATTAATAAAAAACAGCCGGCAACTTGAAAGAACTCTTACACACTATAACCTGGTAGTTACACTGCTGAATGATACTGAAAAGTTGAGTTGTTTTAGCACCAGCAACTGTGAATTTTAAATTATTTTGCCTGAGTGTATGTATACCAAAAACAATCTTAATAGGAAATATAAGTAGAAAACTTTAATTGTACGAATTAAGCTTACACCAGATATTGACGTTACTTATAACTACAAATCTCACCTACGAATATCGTAATAAATACTAGGCGTAGTTTGTGTAGGTCAAGAAGAAGAATTATTTAATGTTATTAAAAGTATCAGTATTCAGCTATTCACATACAACTTTATTATGTTTATAATATTTGGTAAATATTCTGATGTGGTCAGCCTTTTCAATTTGCTGTTTAAGTAACCGAAAAAATTCTAATGTCAGTTATATATGGATAAACAAGCACATAGTTACGACTAGGATATATAGCCGAAAAGTTATTCATCAGATATTAGGAGTTAGTTCTTATTTCCGACTTTAAACAGTCATAAATACAAATGCCATTTTTAAAGAAAAGATAACGGTTTAAACAGGTTTCTTATGCATTAATATACATGCAGAACCTACAAATTGGTACGAATATGTACCATTCTGTATAATCACTTAGGCTCAAATTAGGACAGAGAAATGCTTAGCATAAACAAGTGTTTGGATAAGGTAACATTTTGACACCAGGAACGGGAACTAACAGTCGGCAACTACGTCGAGAACCTACACGCATAAAGCGCATCGCTGCACGAAAATAAACTTGAATTATAACTGAATGGACTAAAGATCATAGGAGTCTTCATAACTAGTGTCACTTTAAGGTAGGTTAACCTAGTCAAATCCGTAAACTTGCTTCAATCAGCCAGTTATCTACAATATAGGACCAGGCACATATATGTATCAGTCTACGCTGCCATACCTCATTAGCACAAGATGAACACCGAATTCTTAGAAGCAGTTAATTCAATGGTAATAATATACAAAAGAAAGATTGCATATAAGAACATAATACAGAGAAAGGATTGATTCGTAGAAAGGTAAGGGAAGACAAAGAGTGTATGCACCTACACCACTGTGACCGGTTCTGAGCCGTTACTCAGTCTCCAACCACAGGTTACGATAGTCACGCGAACCCCAACCAAGTAGTCTGCATCTGCCAAAATGGCTCAGATTAGAAGTTAGTGATTTTATGAACTGATGCAACGTTTTGGTTTGACCGCCCCTAACGTTCTTCCAACCGTCTTCAACACTAGTCACCATTGGTAATCGGTGGTTAGGCATGCGTAATATATGGCCCGACCATCTCAGTCGATGGAGATTCACAACCTCATCGACTGATTTACCATCACTCCCTAATACTCTATGTCTAACCTCATTATTGCTTACCCGGTGATCCAAGCAGATGCTGGCAGTGTTTCTAAAACATCCGTGAGCAAATACTTTTATTTATTATTTATTTAATCAAATAAATATTGGTACAAAGGGGCACCGAATACATATGCGCCACACAAGCCACTTGATTAGTGTGTGGGCTATGATACTATCTGGGTGCCCAAATCGAAGCAGGTGGTTTTCTTTGGGAGCCACACCCGGAGCCTTTGGCCAAAGGTCTGATGCACAAGGCAGTGGGGCAACGTAAGGAGATGCAGTCCCATAGTAGCCGGTGACCAATAATGGGTTCATACGCCATTTGTTCCCTCAGAATACTGGAGCCCATGTGCACCATTGGTTTGGAATCAGGGTTTTCAAACTCCCTTAGATGTATCCTCTGTATTCACCAACCCGCTTCTCGTCCTCTCAAATTCGTAAACAACATCCCTGCCACGAGAAGCAGTGAGTAGGACTTCCTGGTAGCGGTTGTATACGCGTGGCCATATCTCGCCTTCGCCATAAGTGACGTAATTTGGCGGAAGCCAAACGAGCTTTTTAAATCCGTACAGAGATTTCCTCAGACACCAACTGTTAGCGGGACATAGACTAGATTAAAGCATGCTCAATGTATGATTGCTTTGGTGCACGCTGATTGGCTAATTCTTATCCAATCAGCACTAGTCGATATTTGGAGAATACTCTGGAATCTTCTTATGTAAAAACTATAAATATACTGACGTTTTCCCTATTGTGCTTCTGACTTCCATCTAACCTTGTTATTTGGAATATAATCTCTTCCTGTTCAACCGTGTTCTGATTTGGGGACTTGTCGAGTGAATCGGTGTCCAAGAAACTAAGCAATAGGAATACTACGAAGTTTAGATGGAGAACCGTAATCCTCAAGCAAATACTGCTATAATGTGATGACGTATGGTTCTTCAACCGCCTTTAAAAGGTTAAACGCTCAGGTGTAATAAGTGTCAAGTGATTTCAATATCCAGGTGGACCTTACGATGTTGAGGCTTAAAGAACAGATAATAGTGACCGTCTGTCTCAATTATGTTCGTAAGACTGTCTGTTTCCAGCGAGAACCAACTTTAAGCAAAAGGAGGAACACCATCTGACATGGCGAACCCCATAGTCGACTCACCGATGGACTCTAATAGACCGCAATGCCATCGTTGCAGAAGCTCGATAGAAGACTACATCACATTTTTGAGCACATGTTTAGACGCAGACCATGTTCAACTACAAGCACATACATGTCTGGGTCATACTGGACGTAGAAAAGCCACAGCAAGAAAACTCCTTGGAGTTCAATATAATGATGGAAAAGTCAATAATATATTTTAGAGACAACTAGATAAGGAGTAAGTCAACCATGAGTGGTATCAATAGCTGATCATTCCAATCGATAAGAAAAGAATAAAACCCCTCTTGTGACAATTACAGAGGAATTAGTTTGACTACTATATCTAAAATACTAACCTCAATAATACTTTAATGCCTAAATGGAGCAAACCCGAGACAACCAGGCTGGTTACAAGCCTGGACGTGTTTGTATAGACTAAACATTCACCCTTCGGCAGATTCTGGAATATACATACTTTTTAACGTACAACTGACTATAGTTATATTCCCTGACATTAAGACAGCGCTCAACCCCATTGATTGTGAGTTTCTGTGGTAGTGTCTGTCATTGAAAGGTGTACCGAGATACATTAACCTTGTACATGCTCTGAACACGAACACTACTACTACTGGTCGAGTCAGAGCTCATGGAAAACTGTCATCGGAAGTGGTTACTTTAAGTGGTATTCATCAAAGTTACTCGCTTTCCTCATTTTTATTTAACCTTGTCATAGACATACTTTTAGAGATAACTGTCTGACTCTTCAAGGATTGATCTACCAGATTCACTTGTTGTCTTGGAATAAGCAGACAGTTCTGTTTGGTCAAGACGCTGAAAAAATGCAGTCTCTTGACCAGCTTAAGCAACAATCCAAGCATGTTTAGGATACGGTACTCGCCCTCCAAATGTAAAATGTAGCTTCGAATTGGCTGCCGTCAGTGCCTGAATTAATTATAGGGAGTGAGTAGTTGAGTGTATCGACTGCTTCACCCATCTTGGAAGTCTCTAATCCTGATGAGCTGGTGTCTGCCGAAATCTTGACACGGATTCAAAAAGCTCGACTGTATTTCGCCGACCTGTGTTACTACTTTTGGCGTAGGCGAGATATCCGCTACACTACACTTAACACAATTAGTTCCAAAAACAAGTTATGGCGAATAAGACACTTTCTACCTTGAAAGAGATACTTAATTGTATATAACATCTATTTTACAATCTAAGATGAAATTTGCAAATAGAATGTCATGATTTTATTAGTTGTGAATGTGACTTGACAATCAGTACCAATAAAATCTGTTTACTATGTGAAACTTCCCATATATATCACGAGACTACTTCTTGTAAGTAGACGATGTTGAAAAAAGATAGGAAAAACGTACTCAGAAGCTAAATATGAATTTTCCATTACGTTATATTCATAGTGAGGATACGACTTTTAAAACTGTTAACTTCCAACACATGTGACCTTACATAAGTGGCGAATTAGCTTAGATATCACAACAGGAAATTCAAGTATGTGCGAGTTACGAGATTAAATAAGGGTTCATTTAGTTACAGTGTGTCAAAATGATATTCGACGCTTAAGGGTGCTCAAAATGTACCCTTGTTCAATGTGCTAAGAACTTGTTCATATCAAAGTAACTGAAAAAGATAACTAGCATACATACAGTAATCTATTTGTACAATCAAAACAACCTTGTAGTAGAAATGGACGTCATAAAAGCAAAAGGATAAGTAGGAGGAAAGAGCAGCTTGAAACACTAATCCTAGAGTAAAAGAGAACATTTACTCTAAGTGACCTGTGACTAGCATGGCACAAGAAGGGGTAAAGGTTAGAATAACAGATGCAATTAGTGAAGTGACCAGATTTCTACACGGTAAGTACAGACTAGGCGCATTTATGGCTAAAGAATTCGATTGTCATCAACTCAACTGCACGTTCGAATTTCAATACATATCTTCATTGAGTAGGCAAACAAAAGGCTTTGATCTCATTAGAAATGTGGCTTGTATTTGAATACACAAATTTATATTCATTAAGATGCACCACGAGTAATTAGATGCGTTTATTGTAGCTAAGATTGCACTTACATCATTGCATATTTCAAATAAGACACGAAGCAACCACATACTGGTCCAGAATGATCAACAACTTGAAATTTGACGTAACGCATTTTCCCATGGGAAAAGCGCTTCTACACACAACGGAGCATTTTGTGCAACACTACTGTGAGTTCGACTTCATGTTATAATTTATGGTCACCGGGCGATTGGGATATCTTCATTACAAATGCAGTTATGGGGAAGTTTGATAAACATTTCAGTATACAGTCTATAATGATCAGGACGGCGACTGACGGAATACTGTTTAATAAGACACCGAACTGAGTGCTTATCTTGCATCTTTTTAATAAATTAATTTTGTAATGTACGTTTTCTTTATTACTGTCGTCTGCAACATCGATACTGTTCACTGAAACCGATGCATTTTATTTGTCAGATGTCAGATGACAATAGAACTTGACAGTTAGGGGACGTATCACTTCCATAGTAATTTCTGTTGAACATCAACTATCGAAATAAATTTGATATTATGCGTTAATTTGCATGCGCACTAATGTTCATTTTCATGGGGAAGCAAAGGCAAAACTTCGGAATATTCAAGTCACGACTGGAATATGTATATCGTAAGTGTAGGTGATATCTGAAGTTTTGGTGGAGTCATGCGATCACTAATGTTTGAAATTATGGATTTACCGCTCCAAGATTTAGGCGAAAAGCCTGATTATTTCCCCAAAGTAGGAGAGCAAGGCTATTTTTAGTTTTAATATCGCATGAATTGACACCAGGTTTCTTAGTTAGTGTCGTCCGTATTTTCCCAAAGTTCGCCTCTATTTCTCATTCTTGTTTAATTGGAGCTCGCGTTCTAGAACGCGAGGTCAGCAAGAAATAACTTTGTGTGGTCTAACTCCTAATGGCTAATTGTAAATTTTTCGTGCCAATAACATGACATTTAAATTACTGGTAGTAAGCATACCTAAATCAGTCGGCAATACATATGGTTTCCATTGCTAAGGTACCGTTGCAATTGTGGATCTACGGTGGTCATCATGATACTGAGGACAAAAACTAACTAGCAAAACTAACATTAAACAACAAGATTAATCCCTGCTTTAATGGTGAAATGAGAAATCCATTTCACAAAATTCAGAAGGACTAACCTAGCTGAACAGATTCATGTCCAACACTTCCAAAACACCGACTGGTGTTAAAGTAACACGCAGCTTAGCACGGTAAAACAAGATTTGTGCATATCCTGATATTCACTAAAGAGGACTTCATACTTTCATATATCTCATATTTTGTTCACAAAATCAAATTTGTCAACACTGAGTCTCATCATTGCATCTATAAGTCCATGATCTGACTATATGTATCTAATATCTAATTTTTTGTGATGGGATGATGTAAACCAGTTAATTTGAGGTTAGGGAGTGATTTTAAATCTTTCATATCGTCCATCGAGGCTAGTTGAACCCTTTGAATGCAACACGAGGTCGGTACATTTTAAGGTCAGGTGAGTGGTTTTGTCGCAGAAAAATGGGTGTACTGTAACCAAACCTTGTCACGTCTCCAGGCGGTCGGTCGGTTGAAAATCACAGTCAAAATAGAGGGATGTGAGTGAGCACACGGTGTTCGAAGTGACTACTGAAATGCTTCCCTATTTTCGTTTATGTTCCTTGTCTCATCTAATAAAATTCTTTTGTCTTACGAACTCACTCTGTTGTCAATAACATTCTAGAAAAATCGCCGTTTCTCCAGTATTATCGTTCTTTCTTTCCAAGGTTCGTGGTCATATTTTTGAATTACAGAACGTAACTGTCATTACTTCTATAGTCCCGTAGCTGTTGTTTAAATCTTAAGGGTTGACTCTGTAGAACAACCGGCCGTTAGTCTACCCCCTTCATGGTCTGTCAGGGTCTTCATCACCTGCAACCGCATCAAGGTTATTTGTCTGTCTTAGCTTCCGTATTGTATCATCCTTCGAATGCCTATGTTGGGGTATTCAACTTCTGAGGTTTACGGCTATTAGATGAACCGGACTAATTGTTTTCAGACTTATTGAACTAGGTGATTGATAGATACAATCCTAGGTGTCTCTGTATTTATGACAATCACCAGACGTTATGGTGGTGTCTTCAGTTGTTGGCTTAATACGGGACCTTTAAAACCCTACGTACCGCATCCTTGTAGCCTTTTCCAGATCATTTGTGATGCACATTGACTTGCATCTTACAGAGGTCTAGTTCCAAGCAATAATCATGCCACGTTCACCTTTGAAAAACGCTTTTACTCCCAGACAAATCTCACTCTTCACCATTCCCATAAGTAATATGAGGAACTTTGCCTTAGAGCGCAGCGCTTCTCCCTTTGGTTTTGGTGTTGAGGTACTTATATGCCTTGCATCACTTTGTCTTACTGATAGGTGGCTTAATGTCGTACGTTATTATATGGCAATCGTTGCGCTACCGTTAGTCGACAGCTTGATCACTTGCTGTCAATTTTTGTAGCCCTTAATGAGTGCTTTTTGTATATCCTACCCTAGTTTTGATTTGGATGGTAGTAAACAACTTAAATGTCGTATAATAAAACTTTCCTAAGAGGAGATCCTGAAGACATTCCCTACAACTCGTCGTGTTCCAAAGCCACAGGTTTTGATTTTTCACCATAAACCCGATGCATTTCCAGGCACCGATCCGTCACACGGGCGTGTACCTCGAGGCAGAAAGTACACCTCAGCCTTAATTACTTATATTCAGCATGAATTATCAAATACTGGGTCCGTTTGTCGTCAGATGGCTCTTATCCAGACCTGTTCTGTCTACTTTTAAATTACAGTGGTTTATAATTAATGTTAATAGTCGACAACTCATGCGGTCTCATAGTGGATTTTCAAGATTTGGTGTTGTGGATTAATGGTCCAGTTTGGTATTAGTACATTTATCTTCGTTACTATAATAATAGACCTAATTCCAAAATTTTAGATTCGTCATGATGTGACTATCTAACCTATAAGGCCTTACGTGGAAGTCACATCACTGTCCATACTTACTCATCCTATAGTGACAATCAGCATTATGATGCTTAGTACTTCTAAAGAACACATTTCGGATATGGATAAAATAATATATTCAATGTGGAAAGGGATGAGCTACACAGAATGACTACGCCTGTAAGGTTGAGCTATGCCATACTGATCAATTATTCTCGCATTCACTTTCTGACCTTCTTTAAGTGTTGCGTGATGAATGTAAATCTTCTCAATGATTACGTGTTCAATTTCAAAGATAGTATGATTAGGAACCAATACCACTACAATGTCTTAATCTGTGTGTAATTCACTGCGTCGTGGTGATGCTGACGATTTTAGCTTTGTCTGAGGTGCCGAATTTATATGTCGGGACAGGTATCCATAAATTAGTTCTGAACTTTGCATTCAGATGCCTGACTAACCCCTTTGAATCCATACTTTCTAATTACTATTGCTGTTACAGAGTGGGAACCACGAATATTCAGAAGATTCTTTCGGCTTGATTTCGCCTGAGCTCATATTTAATGGTAAACTTAGAATTATTTCCCTACAATTATATGACAGTACGTTTATCAAAATCAAATACTGAACTATTAAAACTAAACTAATAAATGTAGCATAATTAACCGTGCAGAATAATTTATTTCGTAGTGATTTCTTGTGCCAAACATCTCAATAACTATGAAAGTTGCAACCTTTGTCATGTGGTTTGTGTTCTATGTCCTTTCTTATAACCCGTACCAAAGGTCGATAGTTTTTCTTAGACGATGTCATCATACCGAAATACATTATTTAATCTCTTAAATTCCTATCATACTAGTGATCATTGACTTTAGCATTAATCCGGTCAATACGCGACTAGTGCTATACTCACAAACAGTTCTTGCAACCGTGTGAATACTTTTCTCAGGATTCCATTTCTATGTTGTAGACAACGAACATCTCAAGACGATCGCTAATACTGTAAATAGTATCAGAAATGTTTGTCGTGAGCATGACGTGAATGAACAAAGGACAGATAATCCTGTGGACTGAGATAGGTCAATAGAGGATAGATCTTCAAATAAGATGCGGACTAACTGATTCCAGTAAACTATACATATATTCACAGTTTGAATCCGGTCTTTTCCCACGCTGAAGTAACTGAATATGACCCATTTGATACGCAACAAGTTTAACCTGCTCGACCAAAATCTGGTTCGTCTAAGTGTATTATGCAACATATCGTGATTGCGCTTAACTTCATTTCACAGAACCATTCAAATGCACCATGATACTCCCCAGCCCTAGCGAAAAAGCGTGCACAGACTAAATCCCCGATATCTATTAAAGGACTGAGTGAAGACTAACATAATTTCTGCACGGCTTCCTTTCCACAGTAAAGATTCTTCCCTCAGGTACCCTGTGATATACCTTCAACTTCTCTAAGTAGCAAAACTGACATTAAGTATAAGCAAAGTCAATCTATCGATATACAAATACTTGATGAGTATCAAATTGACACACGGTTCACACACCAAAGTTTTAAGTTATAAACAAATGCAGCCCAGCTTATAAAAATGGCTCCCGAGAATAAAACGAAATAACACTTTTCAGTTACATACAACCGCTCGTCAGGAAGTGCACATAAATGTGAGCAACTGTGGCCCAAGTACGGCAACCTACTGTAGGAGACAATAAACCAGATTCCAGCGAAGGAAGAAATCAAGAAGCACTTGAAGTGGATAGGACACACATTGAGGAAAGCGCCCAACTGCATCACAAGGCAAGCCCTCATTTGCAGTCCTCAAGGCCAAAAGAGAAGAGAAAGACCAAAGAACAGATAACGCCGAGAAACGGGGACAGACATGAGAAGAATGAACGAAATTGGATAGAACTAAAAAGGAAGGCCCAGGACAGAGTGGGTTGGAGAATGCTGGTCGGCGGCCTATGCTTCACTGGGAGCAGCAGGCGTAAGTTAGTAAGTAGGTAATAGCTCAAGCCATGAACTTTGCAAACAATGCTATGCCACGATTATCGGCACGAAACAGTTATCCAGTACAAGATACATTTGTAACACAAACTGTAATAGCACCAGTGGTGAGGCATCTAGTTCACTTGGTTTCAAATAACAAGAAAAACATTGGTGCTCAATTTTACCCATTCAACCCTGGTTAGTAAAATCTCAAAGCAACTCCACTAATTCATTTTATGAATCTTTCTCAGACTCTTGTTACTGTCAAAATGGGCTAACGAAGCATCTCCAAGCCCTTGCTTTCCCCATTTCACACACAAAAGTCTAAAAACGTTCCCCTATTCCAGATGGTCCCACGTATTTTAACCTAGTGGACTGTTTAGTTAATGCACATCCTATCAACGATCGATTTGTCTTTAATAAAAGGACGTGTTTAGCCTTGCATAAATCTCTTCACGAACCATCACTTATTATGCCAACCGATGCATCGACACCCAGTAATATATAGGATTGAAGCAGATCGTTTGACAGCCACAGTCGACAAAGAAGTGAGAGGTTGAAAGGACATAGTGGTGGCTTTCCTATATATGTTCAACTCAGATTGGAAACATTCATTTATGCCAGAAGCCTTTACTCCAGCCTCGTCCCTACCATTCACATGCAGGCTCATTTGTCGGTGCATCAATATGCCTGAAATTTGTTGTTTCAAACCAAAGCACCAAAACGTCTTATCATTTGTTGAATATTTTTATTATTCACAAACAGCTTATGGATACGTAAGTGCAGTTTAAAGCTCAGAGAGCGCCCTATCAGACTTCAAGATATCTTGAATTATTACATACTAGTAATCTTATCCTTGTTACTATATATAAAAGAAAATATTCTCAGACAGTTTCTATGATATCGCAGTGTGTGGTAAACGTAAGACCATTTACCTCGTATGGACTGTCTCAGGACTTAGCTGGTTAACTTTACTGAAAAGACTAACGATAAGCTAGCACGTTGTGTAACAACATCAGCAATATTTTTATAAAATTAAGATAGAATTGCCAATTATCCATTTATATTGGCCCACGTATGATGATGTCTACGAGGAAATGCCATTCATTTTCATGAGCTTCAAACGTTTTCCTAATTAGTTGCGATAAAAGGAATGTGAGCTAATCCCGGAGTGACGCGTACACAAAGCAAAAGAATAAAATCCTCCCATCTAGTTTAGTAATAGTTCCTTCGCATTCATGAGAATACTTCCAAATAG